CCCCACTTAGTAACAGTCTAAATAAATAAAATCGAAAGTCTACTCCCTAATTATCAGAGACAACAAAGGATTCCCTAAACAGTGAAAGGGTATCTACTTTGCACTCTGAACCACAAACACAACAAAGTTCTTCTCTCCAGAATATTTACCATGCAACTTTCAAAAGTACAGGTTGCCTTCACAGATTAAAATTAAGAAAGCCTTCACTAATTTGAATCACAATGGACTAGAGAAAAACAGGCTCCCTAAACCAAGCTGAAATTACCCAATATTCTTTTTTTTTTTTAAGGCAGTTGGGGTTAAGTGACTTGCCCAGGGTCACACAGCTAGTAAGTGTCAAGTGTTTGGTCTGAGGCCAGATTTGAACTCAGGTCCTCCTGACGTTAAGGCCAATGCTCTATCCACTGTGGCACCTAGCTGCCCCAATTACCCAATATTCTTATTAAAGTAATAGGCACCTAAGTCAAGGGGGAAAGATTCAAATCTTGTTATTCTGTATAAAGCAACAGATTGCTTAATGGGACTGTACCATACATAATCAAGAAGAACCTAAGGATAATTTTCCTTGGCTTGTTCATCAACTTTCAGGGAAGCGAATGCCCAGTTCTTTCAAAAAACCAATCTCTGACAAATTAAAAGATGATTAAGTCAAATGCCAGCACTGTTCTTATTCAACATTGGAGGGTTTCATATTTGCAGTTTTGGTTATTCTCAGATTGGCCATCAATAATTAAATGGGAATTTTTGGTGATTTATGGCATACTGCAGGAAATCAGAGACAATACAGAAAAATAATTTTAGTAAGTCACAAATATATAAACGTTGTATGTCATTAATCTATTTTATAATTTACTATCATAAGTATACACACATAATTTAACTTGTTAAACTTTTCAGCGAGCTAAAGAACTAAGGTATGCGATCTCTTTTTGTCTATCTACCATCCAGATTTAGTCACATGATTTTTCTCTCGTACTGATCTCTGATTTTGTTGTTGAGTTGTTTCAACCATGTCCAACTCTCTGAGGGGTTTCCTTGGCAAAGACATTGGAGTGGTTTGCCATTTCCTTCTCCAGTTCATTTTACAGATGAGGAAACTGAGGCAAACAGGGTTAAGTGAATTGCCCAGGGTCACACAGCTAGTAAGCATTGGATTTGAACACAGATCTTCCTGACTCCAGGGCCGGTACTCCACCCAGCTGCCCCAGTGATCTTTGTATCTTTCGCTCTTTGTACAAGGAAATTTATGAAGCAGAAGCTACAGCTACACAGGCAACAGCAAAGACTGTAGAGTGTAAGAGATACTAATCTCTCTCTCGTATGCAATGTGGATGTAGTGTGTGTTTTTTTTTTTTATTACCTGTTTTGTGTGTTAAATAAATATGATCGGAATTACAAAAATAAAGGTCTGGGGTGGGGCCTTGAGTTATTCAATGTTTTTCACATTCATAGGGGTTCCATACCCCTAAGCCCCACGAATGTTGAGAGATGACTGTATTTATAACCCCATCTACCTTCATAATTCAAATTTAACCAGAATCATTCACTGATCATCAACTCCCAGACCACAATAATCATTCCCTCCACTGAACTCCTGTTATTCTTGTATGTGCCACTTAATACTTACCTACATCCTGCCTCATATTGCAATTTAGAATGTAAGTGCTTATCTCACAATGACTCTGAAAGTTACGGAGTATCATTATCCTTGTTTCACAGGTAAAGAAAAAGAAGCTCACAGAAATTAAGAGATCTGCCCAAAGTTACAGTGAATAATTGATACACAGTTAATAATTACTTTCTTCATGATAATGCAAATTACAGATGTTGCATTTAGGGCATCACACAGAGCACTTGATACAACTCCACACTGTAATCTAAAATATACAAAGTGAGCACCACACTTCCACATTCCACTTCTGTGTTGTCTGAGCTACTGCTATCTCTTTGTCCCTCCTTATATCTCTCTCACTAATTAGGCTCCTTGAGATAGTTCTACTTACATTAAGTCAAAACAACTATTTGTTTAGTATCACCTTATAAGAATATCTTAAAATGCATCTTTGGTTTTGTCATTCTGTAAAAAGCACCCCCAAAGGTTCACACAAAGGGAATGAATATAAATGACATATCTTTAGAGAAATCGGCTGTTTTAAATCAGCTATATTTAAAAATGCCAACGGATACACAGCTCTACCTTGTGCTAGGCTCCCCTTTTTTTAAAGACCAGAACTTAACAACTTTGAACATCTGTGCCCTTGCCTTTCCTATGTACTCCAGACAGGATCCACCAAAAATTTGTAAGCATATTTTTCTCCCCACATCTGTGCCTTTGCCTTTCCTATGTACTCCAGACAGGATCGACCAAAAATTTGTAAGCATATTTTTCTCCCCATTTCCTACCTCCAGGGTTATTCTTTATACTCTAAAATCCCACCCTGAAGCAAAACGATGGCTGAGCTCCAGTATTCTCAGGGGAGGGGCCAGTAACAGAAATACTGACAAGCCCTCAGCAGTAGTAGCAGTAGCAGCCGCAGAGATGCAAAGCGACAGAATACACTGAAGCAGCGCTTCATGGTTGAAAGGACAAGACACAAGCTGTATTCCTATATTCTCTAGCTCTTAAGGTCACAACAAACCAGCTCTCTGATACCAATTAAAATCCCTGTGGTTTATGTTTCCCCTGAAAAGGACAGCACCAAGATGACCTGCCCCTGCTGAGAACATAACTGGTCCTGTACAGGCCTGGTTGAAAGATGAAGAGTTAAAAAAATTAAGTCATGACTGCCATGAAATTGTTTATTCATGGTAGGTGTTTCAGGCAGTTACAGCTGTACAACAGTAAACTGTTAACAACCATTACCTAGAAAATCATTTCCATTATAGATCATGGCTAAGACAAGAAAGCAGACAGTACATGGTGGTTGGCAGATTTGAGTTCCAGCCCATCAAGGTTATGTCAGAGGTAAGTCAAGAGGAGTATCCTTTCCAGAAACTGCTTTAAAGAAAAACTACGTTTTTGGGATGAGATATATACTAACTGCTGCATCTAATTATAAAGATTAAGCCAATTAAAAAATCCAACCAAGCTTTAAATGTGATGGAGAGAATAATTAAAAATCAGATTTTTTTTTAAACAAAATACTATTATGGCAGTTAGGAGAAGGTTAGAACACAGGGGGGAAACAGCTCTGCCATCAGAAAGCAGGAGGAGAACAGCAGTATGTCAAAGTTATTACAGGATAACTTTTTTTTTCTTTTTTAAAGACCAGAACTTAACAACTTTGAACATCTGTGCCCTTGCCTTTCCTATGTATGCCAAAATAGAATAGCATTTCCTATATCAGTCTTCTTCCCAGCAGGAACCAAGCTGGTGAATCAGCAAAATGTCATTGTCTTCAGAAAGCCACCACCATCATTTGGAGTTCACAAAAGTGGAGAATGAGAACCTTCCAAATCATATTCCTAAGAACTATTTTGGCAAAACTGGTGGTAATACACAGGCCAGCCAAGAATCTACAAGCCTTTTGGGGTGCATACTGAATTTTCTAGCCATTGATCCCTTCGAAAGAAGAAATTACAATAAATAAGTTTGGGGAACTAGAAAAGGTACTCACAACAGAAACTTTTCATCACCAGTCTATAATGGTTACTCAAAAGACTTAAATACAGGTTCTAAACTGTTTCCTATTCCAGAATGCCTCAAACAATGCATCCTTAGCTATAGGCTAATTTGTGGTTATACTACATTAATGCTGATCTCACTGGACATCTATTTCACACTGAAGAATATATACAGAATTTAGAATCAGAAGACCTGGGTTCAACTCCTGGGTTCTGCCACTTACTATATGAAGGGATCTGAGAAAAATCACTTGACCTCTTCTTTGTGGCCTCAGTTTCTGATCTGTAAAATGACTAGAGCAGTGGTGTGAAAATGAAACAGAAATGGAAGCCACTAAACCATACATAAGGATCCCTGTAAGCTGCATATTGATTTAGAAAACCACATATTAGCATTATCTATGTCCTATTGTATTGTTATCTATTTTATTAAATGTTTATCAATTAAATTTTCAAACGGTTTAGACTCCACTCCAGACAGCTGACAGCTGCATGCCGCATGTCTGACACTTTTTGACCACAAGTCCTCTAAAGTCCCTAATAGCTCAAAACCTGTTATGCTATGATCCTATTACCTGCAAAATGATCCTTAATGCTATCGTATTACAAGTCTATATGAAGCAATGGAAATGTCTTAAGATCACTCTCCCAAGAAGCTTATGTTAAGAGTATCCACTAATTTATTTCGATGAGAATTATCAGCCAGAAAAGAATCTAGTTAGAACATGCTCTCATGAGAGAGATTACCAGAAAGATGAACATAACCTGAAGAAGCAGCAGATTCACCCAAGAATATTACTCAAGCAGGCTAACTACTCTTGTTTCCCACCTCTGGAAATCAGGATTCAGGTGTAAATGAAAAAGAATACAATTTGGAGAACTTTACCTAATCCTTAAACACATATCCGTATTTTTAAAAACTACCTGAGGGTTCTGCACAGGCAGATGAAAAACACACAGCAGAGTTTCACTGGACAGGCACCACGAGAGAAAACGTATACAAGGAACCAACACAACAGACATTTAGGGGAGGGCAGCATCCTGGTGGGTAGATGAAGAACTACAAGGCTGTCTTGCTTGTCTCTATTATAAATCCCCAAATCCTAACAATGAAATATAAAGCTAGTTATCACATGAAAAAACATATGACGGAAAATCTAAGAACTAATGGGGATAAATAAGAGAATGATTGTTTAAGATTTATTAATAGACTAAAAATGAACAAAGATCGATGTAAATTTCAAGATAGGAGATAATTAGTATGGAAACAGAAAATTAGGTTGTGAAAAATCAGATAAGATATACAGGAGAGAAAGTTAAATGTAGCCACCTCAAAAGTAGCCAGTTTCCTACTAACAACAGAAATGTTAGGATATCTGTATTGTCATGCCCAAGAAGCCCGAGAAGAGACTGCACAGCATTGAGCTCCACTAATAAGTGATAGAGGTCCGGCATGGTAGCCACCACATGCATCTCTTGAATGATGTCATTTAAATCCAGTTCAGATTCCATAAACCTGTGGATGAAAATAAAAATGTATAACATTAGTGTAAAGTCCCAGCAAAAAGCAAATCCTACCACCCTTATAATGTAGCAAAAGATCTTTTAGTACTAAAGAAGAAATATCTGCACAACCTAAAGAGAGAGAGAATCTGTCAAAGTGTCCACAACAGACCAACCAAGAAGTACACTCAAACTAACATCATACTGTCACACAATTTCGCTGGAAAATCGATCTCCTCATTACAAAAATCAATCCTGGATTCAGATCTCATTACATCGTGCTCCTTGTTCCCACAGTCACAAACTGCCTTTCAAAGCATTCTGCAACATCAAATGAACCTCATACAGTCCTGTGAGCTGGCTATCGTTATTCCACAGGGCTACAATACGATCCATTACTTTGGACATAAACTACCTGACTTACCCACTAACTTTCTGTTCTTTATCTTACAGTCTTATGGAAGAGCTACATCTGAGGTTATAAAGAATACAGGTAGTCCCACACAGCAATACAAGTTACATCTGAGTACAGAGATCAAGAATATTTTTCCCTAAATATATGATCTAGTACTAAAAACTTAAAAATTTAACAAATTCCTAGAAAAATAAAAAGTAAATGTAAAACAAAGATTACAAATCCACAGCTACCAGTGATTCTTATGTGTTTTCAAGTGTGCTCTTCTAGGCAGATAAAGTTTCCTTCCACAAAATCCATTTCTTCGGGATGCTCTCCTTCTGAGAAGACTGGACATTAGGCATACATCCAACAATGTATGAAGGGCAAAGTGAGAAGGCAATGGCAAAGTATTAGAGCTACATATTACAACAGTCAGCCAGTCAATGACTCTATCCAGTATGACAAAAAATGTGTCGTGTCTCTTTCAATGGATTTCCTTCCAAATGCCCGAAAGCAATCTTTTAACCACACATCGAGTGTCAGCACTGACCAGCAAAGCAAATGCAATGGGCGAGTACCAGCTCCAACCACAGAAACAAAAATCACCATAAGGACTTCTGACACTTTGGAGCTCACTGCATCCAACCAACCAATCCAACTATAACCCTAAAAAAGACAGGCAATACATAGAAAAAAAAGAACAAAGTTGCCCAAAGTTTAACAGCAAACAACGTATCCTCGAGAAAGATGGTACTGGGTGGAAAGGGCACAGAGTGAAAAGTGATGGTTATATGAAGAGAATTGTCAATTGTATTTTAAATGCAGACAAATGAAAAGAGGCATTTCTGGGTATTCGATCAAAATAACAATTGCATCTATGGAAAAATAAATTTGAATGTTTCCAATCTTGATCGGAGAGGTTCATTCAAATACGCTCAAGCAATTTTCATCTTAATTGCACCTCACTGAGACTACAGAATTACCAAAAACACTGTACCAGTAAGAATTCAAAAGCTCAAGGTTAAAACACAATGTAGCTTCTGAACTGCATTTAACCATCAAAAAATATTTTTCACATTTAAATTTGGTCTTCAAATGTTCAAATGTCTAAAATGGAAATACATTATAAGAATGGAAAGGGGTATGATTTTTTAAAGGTTCTTTTCATTAAAAATAATTTCCCTTAAGTGTTGTATACAACAAATGCAGAGCTCCCCTCACATCCCATAAGATGCCAACAGGAGCACTCACCTTCAAAGCAACACTAGTTCAAGCCAGCTAAAATGCATTAAGTAAGTAAAGTGGTGAACACATAAGTTGGAGTTTGAAGGCCTCCAGTTTTGTCAGTCAATGGTGAGCATACACCAAAGGCCTCTTCTAACTTCCACCTTCCATGTTCGGGCCATTGAAATGTGTTAAAGGCAAGACTGGGCAATAACCAGATATTGTGAGGCAATCTGATGTGGCAGGGAGACTTCAGACTGGGAATGAGAAAATCTGGGTTTTGGTTCTGTTTCTACTGTGACTTTGACTTGTCATGTCACCTTTTAATGCCTCAGTTTCCTCGTCTACATTTTGAACTTTGAAAGAGCCACAAGCTCATTGATCTTGGTTCTCCCTTCATTAATGAATATCAAAATCCCTCCATATTTCACTAGTTGTTCTCACTGAGAAATCATGTACCTGGTGGCCAATCATCAGATGATAAAATTTCTCCACACTTTGTTAGATGGGTCTCTAACAAGAGATAGTTTATTGGGCCTCTACTTATATGCCCTTCCAGCTTTCCAGAAAGCAAATCTAGTTAAACGAGGGACAAAATATACCTAGGTCACATCAAAATCCACCTTATTAACAAACTATGCTATAGTGAACTGCCATTGTAGGAAAAGCAATTTAGAAAACAAAGAGCTTTTTCAAATGGCTCCTTGGTGATAGCTAAGCTAATATAAGAGGAAGACAGACTGACCTAACCTCAAGGGTCTCTCTAACAGCTCCAGTTCTGAATTACTTCATTTTGTCAATGACATCACCACCATTAACAGTTGTGGTTCAATTGTTTCCTTCACGTCTGACTCTTTGTGACCCAATTTGGGTTTTTTTGGCAAAGACACTGGAGTGGTTTGCCATTTCCTCCTCCAGCTCATTGTGCAGACGAGGAAACTCATCTCAGGGTTAAGTGACTTGCTTAGTGTCACACGGCTAGCAAGTGTCTGAGGTCATATTTGAATTCAAGTCTTCCTGACTCCAGGCCCAATGCTCTAGCTACTGAGCCACTACAGGCCCCACCATTAACAGCAGTCAAGGGAATAACGATTTTTAAATTAGAAAAATTTTCAAATACAACCTTAAAGTCAAAGAATGCCAGGGATACAGCTCTCCTTAGTAAACAAAGGCTTTGAGATGAATTAAAAAAGCAAACACTTGGAAAGAAATAATGATTGGGAAGGGGTGGGGGAAGGGAATGTAACAGTAAAGCAAAGGATATCTTACTTCTCAGGATTGTCTGGAAACTTGATACGTAGCTCTTGGTTTTTATAGGACCTCTTCTCAAATGTGAGAATCATTTTCTTCACTGAGCTTTCATCTAGTGGTTCATCCTGGTTCAAAATAAACACATAAATAAAAATCAACAACTTCAGCCCTCAGTGATATCTTCTTCTCTGAACTCTACTAGCCTTCATTTATTATCTGTCCTTCATTTGGCATTTATATCATGCCTTATATTGTTGGCTGCCTAGTGTGAAGTGTATATCTTGTCTCTGAAACTAGAATGCAAATTCTAGAGGCCAAGGCTCAAGTCGTAAACACCTCTGAATTTTCCAAAGCAGCTAAAAAAAGCTCTGTACATAGAAATGTGTTAACTGACTCAGATTAACTAAAGGAGGAGAGTTGGAAGAAAAATAAAGAACTGCTTAAGATTTAAGCCAACTCATCCCTAGTCTTCCGATAGCAATCTATAACTCTAAGTTCTTTGAGATCGAGAACCATATCTTGTTTAGTTTTACATCTCCCCAACATCTAGCATTATATATTACACAGAGCCAGCAACTATTTAAAGAGGATAAAAGAAATCATTAAAGTAATTACTTATAAAAATGAAATTCACAGAACCAGAGAAGGGAAGAAGAGAAGGGAAGGGAAGAAGAGAAAACTCTAACTTCATTTTATAAATGAGGAAACTGAGGCTCAGTAAGGTTTTGTGACTTGTCCATGATCACTCAGATAATGAATAGCAAAACTAGCACTACACTAAGGTGTGAGTCTCCTATTGATGCTCTACTATCTGTCTCCAATTATACAGGGTAAAAGCTAAGGTGTAATTCAAATTTTATACTCAAGCATTAACTATAAAACTGGCTCAAGTCACCGTTTGCTGTTTCTTCAGTATTTCCACTGGTGCTTTATTAGGAATCTGCCCACTGTTCCCCAGTTGCCTGCTAGTCATAGCGCTAAGAACCAAGCAGACGACTGACTCCCCAAAGCAGCAACAGCTGAAAGCCCACAAAGAGGCACTAGGAAGATGGGTTTCTAGAAAAGTAGACAAATTAAATTTGTGTAAATTGAACACCATCCCCAAAGATGAGCATTAGTATTTCAGAGATTCCTTACAACCATTTCATTTTAGTTTTCATTTCATTTTAATTCAATTCTTTTTAATGTTTTTGGTTTTTGCTTCTCTTCTTCTAGATTGTCCTTCACTTCTGCTCTCATAATTCTAATTTCTCTTTTGAACCACTCAGGGACAATGTGTTGTGGTGCCTGCCATGTCCTCATCACAATCCATAAGACCCTCTGTCTCATCAAATTTTGAATATTTTCAATTTGTTTTGCAGTTATTTATTTATTCATAGATGCCTGAACTCATTTACTAGATCAAGAGGCCATATTTCCTTTTGTGGTTAATGTTTTCCCAGCTGATTTATCTGCTTATGTTCAAGGTCTCCGAGTTTTCTTCTTCTGGAGATCTTAAGTAAATTTGGTCTTTTTTTCCCCCTGATTTTCCCCTATTCACTTTCTAACTCTGTTCCCTCTGATGGCGGTTTCCTTGAGGGCTGGATTTCAAAGTGTCTCAGCCTCCTCCCCACCACATGCACGGTTCATCAGCCTAGGTCTCTAGCCTGAGTGATTCTGGGATAGTCAGAAATGGCTCCAGCTATATGCTGTACTCTTTCCCTCAGGCTCAGTGGAGTGCTGAACAGCTGCCCCCCAACCTCCCTACACATAACATCCTGTCCTCCCTCTGGGCAGTTCGGAGAGCTGCTGGTGCTTTGGGTTGTTGCTAGCGCTACTGGGTTGCCTGCCCCAGAGCCAGCAAGCAGCTGGGTGCTTTGCCGAGGTAGTGCTACAGGGCTGTGGCTTCCAGCAGGCTCTTGCTACTGAAGAGTTGCCACTTGCTGAGCTGACTATTTGTCACTGTCCAAGCAAATTTCCAAAGCCTAGAGATGGCACTGAGAAGAAGGAGTGGGGACCTGGGTGTGAGGTTAGATTTTGTTGTAAGCCCTGACCTGTGTGTGAAGACAAGTGCTAGTGCAGCCTCAGTGCCAGTAGCACGGGAAGTGGCAGAGGGGTACCGAGTTTTTTTACCTTCTTTTGGATTCTGAGTGTCTTAGACTATGGAGACAGATGAACTTACTTTATCTTTAGCACACATAACTGCTGTTTTGTAGAGGTCTGAGAGGTCATGGGGATCACAGAAAATGTCTAGTCCTCCATCTTGCTGCTCACATTCAATTCAATTCCATAAATATTTAAGTGCCTACTATGTGCAAAGTTCTATAAATATAAAGACAAAAATAAGACAACCCCTTCCAAGGAGCTTATGTTCTACTGGGGGGATGCAACTATATATGCAGATAAGTAAATGGGAAATTTAAACAAAGTAACAATGCAAATTAATTTTAAAATGGACTGGGCACTGACTACTTGGGGGCAAGGGGGTGAATCATGGGGTGATCATAGACATCAGGTCTATATAGGAGGCAGCTTCTGAGCTATTCTTTTTAGGAAGATAGGGATTCAATGAGGTATAGATTTCATTTGCTCCAGTCCTCCCCATATCTCCCCTACTCTCTTTTTAACCTCAAGTTTCATGCCAAGCAGTTCCTAACCACAGCATATACTTAAATTCAGACGAACTGCTATTTAGAAGACCCTAAAAGTAGTCCTTTTGAAAAACAAATTATTGCCCCTCCAATTTTGCAAATTCCAATTTTGATTTGGTTAGCTATTCTGAAATGGGGAAAACCTCTACCTATACATTCACTTTAGCAATTGTTCACTTAAAGGTCTCTGGAGTCATTTGTTGAGTCCTGCTATCTATGTATCCAAAGCAAACTACGATTTGGCCACTGTGGCAAAATGATCCAATACCACCACTAAACTTTTATTAACATTATCTGGATTGATAAAGGAGGGTTACATGATCCTCAAATGGCTCAGATAAAGACAGGCTTTATTTCTCTTGGCTAACCCAGAAGAGAGGCTTACAGGCCTCCCCTATTCCTAGCCTCTCCCAGGCTTTCACTTTCCTCCTGGAAATTCTCTCAAACAGCAGGGGAATAGCGAATTATCAGTCTCTACCATCAGCCACAGCAGCATCACCAAGAGCTCAACATCAGAAACCAGAGGCAGATTTCAGAAAGATGAATGTTGGTGATGCAGTACAAAAAGGACAATAATATTTTACAAGGTCACATGACTTCACAGTGGCAAATATCACTTGTTTTTCATCAAATAGGACTTTGGTGGCAGGGAGAAAATAACTCCTGGACTTGTAGCCATCCATGTGTCATTTTTACAAAATGATCTCTTTTCCCCTGTCCCTTAACAGAAGGACTAGTCCCACATTAGATTTCTGTCTCCTAGGCTTGAAACCACTTACCCATGACAGCTACTATCCTAATCCTTTAGTCTAGGCCTTGCCCTACATGGGAATTATGCCTGCCAATTAACTGTTGCTGCAGGGCTAACAGATTGAAGAAGAGCTGGGAAGGAGGCAGGAGGAAAGAGTACTACATGCCGCCTAAATCCTCACAGAGCTGCTGAATTTTGAAAGGCCTGTGAGGAGTCCAAAAAACATTTCCCTCTACAATTTTGAAAATGTCAGGAGAGTCAGGCCCCCAAATCAGGACTGATGAAAGGCTTTTTATGAGATGGTAAATAAAAATAAAACTGTTTCTGTAGCTTAGTTTTTAGTTTAGTTTTGACTAAATTCACATGCCATATATTCATAAGATCACAAAGCAAGACAGTTAAAACCCTATTCATCTTTTGGGGATCATCTGTGATATCCTCCGCCCCACCAAGTCTTTCCTTATCCCCTCAGCCAAGGGTGATTCCCCCTGCCCCTCAACTCTCTTGCATACTTTTACACTCCACTTTGTGTCATATTTATGTACGTGTTTTGATAGACGGCATGATGTAGTAGAAAGAGCAATGGGGTTTAGAGACAGAAGAGCTAGGCTCTTCTTGCCTAGACTTGCTAGCTGTGTGACATTAGTCAAGGCATTTAGCCTCTCTGTAGCTCAGTTTCCTCATCTGTAAAATGAGATGGTTGAACCAGAAGCCCAGTAAGGCTCTTCCAACTCTAAATCTCTGATGTGATAATCCTATGATTCAGAAAAACATCTGCCCTTCAAGCCTGTTTCACACCTCATGCACTATAAAAATGAAAGCCATTAGCCTTATTCCCTTCTATGATAAATTCTTTGAGGACAGGAATTGTATCTTAGCATCCCACCCAAACACCTAGTATAGTACCTCACACATAGTAGATGCTCAATAGTAATGAAATTCAAATACATGAGAACTCCAAAACAGTTAAGAATGAATTTTCTTAATTCGAATGGAGCAAAATATCAGAAAGGAATAAAGTTGTTTAAACAACAAAGGTAAAGGGTATATTTTTGCTTTGTTTTTAATTCGTTGATGCATTAATGTTAAAACTATTCCTTTACAGTGGAAAAAGTTTGAAGTTTTCAAAGAACTAAGAGATATAAGAAGAAAATACATCTAACTTGTCTCAAGAAAAGAATTATAACAAATACTATTCTTTTGTCACAATTCATTTCTGAAGACAAGGCTCTCCAAGTTTTCATCAGTCCTTACCCTAACCCTCACCTCTTCTTCTTCCTCCTCTCCCTCTTTGTCAATCATCTGAAGAAGTTTCTTCTTGTCATCATCAGCTTCTTCCACTGCCACCCCTTCCTCTTCTCTATAGCGATTTCGCTCTCGGGCTCCAGCTTGCTTCCGCCGCGTCTTTAATTCCTCCTCTTCATCATCTCGGGGCCGTTTTGTACCCCTGTTGGGCTAAGAGAAAACAGAATCACAGCACGTCAAGCTGGAAGGGAACTTAGCAGTCACCTAACCCTTCATTTTTGATGAGGAAATGCTAGATCAGCAAAGCACAGGGAGTTATTTAACAGTAGAGCTGAACCCAGCAAAACCGAGCATAATCTTTCAGGGGAAAAAATGGATATTCAGTGAAATAGAGGACTTTCAAGCATTCTTGATGAAAAGACCAGAGCTAAATAGAAAATCAGATACAAGACTGAAAAGAAATATGAAGAGGTAAACAGGAAAGAGAAATTATAAAAGACTTATTAAGGATGAACTGTTTACATTCTGCATAGAAAGATGATATTTGTAACTCATGAGTCCTTTGTCAGTATTAGAGTAGCTGGAGGGAAAAAATTTATATGTAAGTAGATAGACAGATAGATACATAGATACACAGATACATAGACAGATACATAGACACGTAGAGGGCACAGAGTGAGTTGAAGATAAAGGGGTGATATCTGGAGAATAAAATTAAGGGGGTGAAAGAGGATTATACTTAGAGAAGGAGAAAGGGAGAGGTAGAATGGGGTAAATTATCTCATATAAAACAGACAAGAAAAGGCTTTTACAGTGGAGGGGAAACAAGGGAAGGTGAAAGGGAATGAGTGAATTTTATTCTCATCGGATTTGGCTTAAGGATGGAATAACATACACACTCAATTGGGTATGGAAATCTATCTTACCCTACAGGAAAACAGGGGGGAAGGAGACAAGAGAGCAGGAGGATGATAGAGGGGAGGGTAGATTGGGTGAGGGGGTAATCAGAAGCAAACACTTCTAAGGAGGGACAGGGTCAAAAGAGAGAATAGAATAAATGGGGGGCAGGATGGGATTAAGGGAAATATACTTAGTTTTCCACAACATGACTAGTATGGAAGTGTTTTGCATGACTATACATGCATAACCTGTATCAAGTTGCTTGCCTTCTCAATGGGGGGGGGGAGGAAGTGAGAAAATTTGGAACCCAAAGTTTTAAAAACAAAAGTAAAAAAAATTTTCACATGCAACTGGGAAATAAGATATACAGGAAATGGGGTATAGAAATCTACCCTGCCCTACAAGAAAACTGAAAGGAAAGGGAGGGAGAGATAGAAGAGAAGGCAGATTAAAAGAAGGGGTATTCAGAATGCATGCCATCTTGGGGTAGGGGGGAGGGACAAGATGGGGAGAAAATTTGGAACTCAAAATCTTGCGGAAGTGAATGTCGAAAACTAAAAATAAATAAACTAATTTTTAAAAATATTTCAAAAGGAAAAAAAATAGTAGAGTTGAAACTAAAACCCAGGACTCTTGATTCTTCAGTCAATGCCCTTTCCACTATAGCAACAGAACTTGATTTTGTGTTCTATACCCCTGCCTTGGCTGATCAGACCTTTTCCCAATTTTAAAAGGTGGGAGGTGACAATTCATAAATAATATTCACTAAAATAAGACTTATAAAACCAGAAATTTCCTTACATATAGCAACTGATATGGCTCTAACCATCTTCCCTGGAATACAAAATTCTTCTTAGTTCCCGGCTTCATCCCTAGACATTTACCATTGTGGATGACTGTCAAGAGGATGCTAGGTACTGCAAGGCACACTACCATCAAACAGATGATGTCACATAAGTCTCCAGTCAGCTAACTGATTTGGTAATACAGATAAATTTCCACTGTATATATTACACATCTGACTTATGACTGCCCAGTCATGCCAGGGGTGAAAGGCCATTCCCCTCTATAGTTAAGCTTCTGGTGACTACACATACCAGGTGCTTCAGCTATACTAAGCATATGACATTGCTTAGCAAATTCAAATTATACAATTTGGTTTGTAGGGCACCACCTGCTTTTCTTCACTCTATTCCCAGTCTTCCCGGGATAGATAATAATTTGATATGATCACAACCTATTTCTATGAGTATAAAAATGCACTATAGTCATTATAGATCAACCCTTTAAAAAAAACTGTTGAAAACATGCCAATAATTTAAGACTATCAAAAAATATGAAATCATTTCCACATGGAAAAAAAAAAGAGTGAAAACTTGCTTGATTCCACAATAATGTCTTCAAACTGGAAATCTGCAGCTCCCCAGCAGGTAAGAACTTCAGCCCCTCAGGAACACTAATTCTTTTAGGTTCATAAAATCAGGCCTGCTGTGATTCTGATTAGCGTGAGCTTGCTGCAGCAGCCAAGTTAGACAGACTCACCATGAAAAGCAGATTTCAGGATTGTTTATTCATTAGGGGCAGAGGAAAAAAGCAGTGGACTACTATTAAAAGGAAAAAAAAGAAAACAGTGCCATAATCACGAAATGCAAAATGGATGTCGAGTGGCAACCTCCCTTTTATACATATCTCCCAACATACATATAAACTCAGTCCTTTGAAACATACGTTATAGTCATACCTAGAAAACACTTTCTACCTCTAATAATATCTAATGAAACAGCATCTTCCTCTGAGGGATCTAAAGTAGGTTCTTTCATCTTTACCACAATCCTGGAGTTGCTATCACTATATTTCTATTTTACAAATGGATAGAGAGCATATTGAAGATTATACAATAAGAACTACTACAAAGACCTAAAAGTCTACAATTCCTAAGTCTGCTTTTTCCTGATCTGATGGGCCTTCCCAAAACAGTAGTTTCTGAAGCTGCTCTCTAGAGAGGGCTCAATCAATAATGATTCCTGTAAGCCATACCTCTTTGCAGAACAAGATGATGTAACTAAAAAACCCTGTCATCACTTGGTCAAGCTAAACAAAAGGCCAGTCACAGAGCTAAATAAGGCCTTAAAAGATATGATCCTGAGTCCTATCAGGCAACACACCTAGGAGATTCTTCATGAGGTTGAAATAAGTGTCCATTCAATAATAAACGTAGTCAGAACATCACTTCACAACTCCTCCCTCTCCCCTCGACCCGCCCCACCCCTCCAAGACCATCGGTGGGATTCTAGTTTATTTGGAACCAATCCTCAGGGTTATGGACAGCATTCAACATTAAATCATGGGAAAATGAAGTGGTATAAGGGAAAGAGCACTGATTTGGAGTCAGAAAACCTGAGCTGGAATCTAGTTCTGCCACTTACTACCTGTAAGATCTTGGACAAGTCATTTTAATTTGGGGGGTCCTAGTTTCCTTATCTATAAAATGGAAAGACTGGATCAGGTGATCCCTAAAGTCTCTTTCTAGCTCCAAATTCTTTGATATTATTATGACCCTGAGAGTCTAAGTTTTAACTACTCCAAAAGAGTTTTAGGGCAATTCAATTCAAGACACATTTACAAAGCAGTTACTAAATGCATGGCCCCGTACTAAGCAATGCTGAAGATTAGCTACAAAAGACACAATTCCTGCCCTAAAGAGTTTACAATCTAGGGGAATTTTATATTCTAAGACCCATTACTTTCCTTCTCTGGACCTATTTGCTCATTTGTAAACTGAGAAGGTTGGATTTTATTTCTAAGATTCATTCTAGCTCTGTAACATTTTGTTTTCAATCTCTACTCCAATCCCAAAACAAAACCCAGCCATTAGCAGTAGCAACCTGCACAAGAAAGGTATAATAAAGTCCTCCTAAACCAGAAGCCATCAGAAGAAAATTACCAGCTCCAAAAGACAAAGAAAGATAACACAAGTTAGCAAGAAACAAATGCCAAACTACTTCTCACTCCAAGAGACAGCCAAAGAAAGGTGGCTGGCACTAACACCTGTCCCTTTACTTTGTTGTACAAGGCCGATCCCAAGGTTATTTAAGTTCCTGAGAGGCGAGACTGCTTCATTCTTTATATCTGTATCCTCACTTCCAAGCAGTGTCTAGTACCTACTAAGTATTTAATAAATACTTGTTGATTGATTCATACAGGTCACCTCTGAGGATTTATTTTTCGTATTTTGCAAAGTGTTTGGAAACCTTCAAGACAAAGAAATGTCAGGAGAAATTGCTTTTAATAAAGTCATCTTTTTACTTCTGCTGCCCACAAAACTAGAAAAAATAATTAACTGTTAATGTCTGTAATACCAATATACTGACCTAGACACACAAGATTCTTAACTCTCTCTTTTAGGACTATTGTAGAGTGGTAACATCTACTATTTGTTGGGTTCTAACCTCAGAGCTGGTCAACCTTCAAGGGTAGATAGATTTCCAAACAGACAAAGCTTATGAGACGTTTCATAACGGCTGCAAACTAAAAGCATTTTATAAAAAATATTCCCACTGGAAACAGAAATAAGATTTCTCACATGAAATCTCTGAAAGAGTTAAAAATTAAATAAGCATTTATTTGCCTAAGCTACTCCCTGCATACCCAGACAATATCCAACCTAAGCTTCAGGTTCATTTCTCTCTCTCTCTCTCTCTCTCTCTCTCTCTCTCTCTCTCTCTCTCTCTCTCTCTCTCTCTCTCCTTTTTTTTTTAATTAAAAAGCAGTGAGAGGTTATAGCTATAATGAGGTGCTATGAGAACATGCAGTTATATTGGGTTTAAAGTAATGTACCATAGGAAGAGGCTACATCACCAGAACGAATCCTAAATTAAAACTCCACTATGAAACCAACTCCATTTCCTCTGAGCATGCAATCTATATTATCAGCATTTACGATCTGTCTCGACCTCAATTACAATCTGGGGCTAAGGGGTGTCAAAAAAGAGATTTCTATAATATGCAATAAGAGTATCATTATGATAAATTACAAAAATACACAGAATGTAATTATTAATACAAAGACTACATTTGTATCAGAATATAACTACGTAAGTAATGGTACAGAGGAATGAAGACAGGCGGAAAAGAAGACCAAAATTAATCTGACATACAAAGTTACAGGAAAGAGGTAAATCTGTGTCCCAAGCCCAGAAGATTTTACGAACTCTTCTAAATCCCTGTAGCTTCCTCTGATAAAAGTATTTATAATATAGTAATCAACGATATGGCATTTAAAAATTAATAAATCTCTGCTCATGTAGACA